GCCTTAGAGAACTTTACTTACCTGGCCATTTCATTTAGATATCTCTGGCCAAGCCATTTTTCCATGAACTTGTAGACATCAACCACCTTTGTTACTAAATCTTCAAGGACAGCCAAAGCTTTTGTCTTTATTAGTTCAAGTCGAAATTGCGTGGCTGCTTCTATTTAAAAAGAGAAAAACAGAATGTAAATAAACTGAGCTCAGAAAGACAAATCATATGCTTCCTTATTCCTATGGAATCTGTATTTCAAAGATGCATGAAAGGAGAAAGGAGGCTACTTAGAAAGAGGAAGTGTAACGGGAGTGAAGGAATCGAGAGAGTAATTAGGCATAAATATAATCAAAGTATGTTATATGCAAGTATAAAGAAATCATAATGAAAACTCTTGTTTTATAAAATTAATATACACCAATATAAAAGAGAAAGAGGGATTTTTACTGTATTATGTATACATACATTTTTATAATGACTCAAATCTGCTTATACCAATCACACTTTGGTTTATGAAGTTTCATTTAATTGTAGGTAAGGTGGCATCCATCTCAGAGAAGCAAAACAAAATGTGCAGCAAAGTCTTTTAAGATTTTAAAATTATTCATGACCTTTATATTGAATAGTACTCTTTTAACAATACGCTATTTAATGTTTGATTGTCTACAAGATCACGTATTGATTCCTTGTTCTTAAACTATAGCTTTAACTGTGTTTTCTCTCCCTTCCTTTCCCCACTTCAATCCCAAATCCAACTCCACAGCATTTAGAGTCACCTGAGTCTTGTCCCATCTGCCTTCCTCCAAGTGTCAGCGCAGTCCCACATCTGCTCTGGAACATTTGGAGCAGCTTCCGCAGGGACGGGATCTTACATGTGTTGAAGCAGGGTCTAATGGACAATGTGTGATCTGGCTGCCCAGTCCCCAAGTCACTTCTTTGGGGCTTATCTCCTCCATTTCATAGCTACTCGCTGAATAGTTTTATATCCTTTTTGCTTTGGCCCATACCTCTCTGCTTTCTATTCCTGCCCCTTGTTTTCCTCCTAAGCACATTTTTCCATACTCTTCTGGGTCAGCTAACATTTCTCTGGGGAGTCTTTCTTGCTGCCTCGCCACCTTGTCTCAAATGTCTATCTCCAACATCACAGAATGCTAGGTGACTGTCCATATCCCTTGGCTTCTAGCTTGATTACATATGTGCATGTGTCTTAGCAACAACCACAGGGCACGGCCTACAATGAAAAACTTGATCGCTTTTGTAACGTGAGGAAAAATTTTATGTCACTGAGGTTCTTGTATCAGGCGAATTTAAAGATGAAGCATACTGGAAGCCATGGGAATCAGATGTGGAGACAGACACTGAGGAGAGAAACATATATGCTCTACTCTTCAGATGCCTTCTGGCTCCCCAGGTTCAAGTCACTCCTTGATTTTTATGCTGGATTATGGGAGTAGGGCGTGGTAGAGTGGATAGGGGTGAAGGGAGAATGAAGGAGAGAAACAAGTGTGGGAGATATTTTTCCTTAATGTCACCATAGCAAAAATTTTCTAGTTGGCCCAATATGTCCATGTTACAGTTTAGGTTCAAAGGGAAAAACACCAAGAATCCCAAAAATAGAGCAGGTCCACTGACTTGGTCCAAAATGGCAGTCTTGGCTCAGCTCAAGCTGGACTCTGGAGGATTGATGGCCAAAAAACAAAAGTTCATTCTCACCATTCCTCAGGAACCTGTGAAACTGGTTTTTGTCTGCCAGGAAGAGCCACTTCCCTATTGACACACACCCAGGGTGCATAGCAAAGCCACTGGGCCACAAGCCCCTTCCCCCACAACCCTAAACTTCCAGGCTATTCTAGTTCATAGGCTTTCCTCCCTAAACTTTGGACTATGACTTTTTCTTTCTATACCACAAGGATTTTCTCTGGTCCTTGCCAGTCTGCCCCAGAGTGGTAGTCACAAATGCTTTAGACTTCCCCAAAGGCCTCTGACTATGCCTCTCTCATATCTAAAATAAAAACTTTCTCCTCTATGGGTTATAGCAGGCTTTCTGGAACCACCAGTTCCTAAATCATGACATGGAGACTTTATTAACAATGGATGCTAAATTGGGAAAGTACACATGAAATAATTATGCACACTATCAATTGTTTCTAGAAACCTCAATTCATGAATGTTTCCATCATAGAAAACAATTCTTGAAAGAAAATTACATTTTCTTTTTAATTAAAAAATTTCTACAGCAATATATCACATTATAACCAGATTAGTTCATAGTAGTAAAATTGATTGTATGATCTACTAGTTAATAAATAAAAATGTATTCTCAGCCAAAAAAAAAAAACAATGGATGCTAAACCTTATCGTATGCTTGTTCAACGAGCACTTGTAACTTACCTGTTTCTCTTCACCTGAGTTTTGCCTGGGGGCTTTTTTATTTTTATTTTTATTGAGCTCTACATTCTTCTCTACTCCCCTCCTTGCTTCTCCCCTCCCCTTCAACCCTCTCCCAAGGTCCCCAAGCTCCCAATTTACTCAGGAGATCTAGTCATTTTCTACTACCCTGGGGGCTTTTTTTTTTTTTTTTTAACTTTTCTTTCATTCTTTAAGTCCTACTTGTCTGTCTGTCTGGTGTCTTACCTTTCTCTCTGGTTCTCTCTGGAGCCTAGATTCCTCCTCCTATTCTCTTTGCCAGCCACTTGCACCTATTCTTCTACGGCCTAGCTATTTATCGGTCGTTCAGCTTTTTATTATACTGATCGGGTGCCTTAGGCAGATACAGCAATGCATCCTTACATAGTTAAACAAATGCAACGAAATAAATGTAACACACCTTTATATAGGTAAAGTAATATCCTACAGGAATGGATGGGTCATTTTGGTGGCTTCTCGGTGCCTTGGCTTACAGTACAGCTTTGTCACCTAGGATATTAACAATTCTTTCTTTCCATAGACTATCTTTGCTTAAGTCCTGATACTCTAAAAGACAATGAAAAGAGCGTTGGGAGAATAGGTCTTGCAGAGACCTTGCTGAGTATAGGGAAGAAGCCCTTAACCTGAGCAGAGATGTGCGGACTCTTGACTGATCTTTCATTCTCAGAGCTTACTACACTTTAGCCAGGACTTCTTTGCTTTTTTTCTTTTTAAAATAGTTATTTACTTTTTAAACTTCATGTGTATGAGTGTTCCGTTTGCCTAAGAGGTATGTACAACACATGTTTGCCTAAGAGGTATGTACAACACATAGCCAGCAGAGATCAGAAGGCAGCCTTGGATTCCTTGGAAACTGGGTCTTATTCGATGCCTCCTCCTACCTTCCAACTGCAGGGCGGCAAGGTGTTCTTCCTTAATCTTGAGTTTCAGCTCATTCCTCCTCTCCATTTCGGCTAGTTCCTCAGGAGAGACTGTGATGGGGCTGACCTCTGCCACAGGTGACGACTTTCCTGAAAGGGAACTGAGACATGGTGAGTAAATCACCAGACTATGAGTTTATGGGGATGGCACTTGTACGGTGTGACAACGCAGCAAAATCTGTAGAATCAGAAACTGGCAGAGATTTTGAAACGGGGAATTTTGGACTCTCTGGGGTGGGTAATGATGTACTGAACATGTCTCCTTTAGAATTCTGTGGCTTTCTGGTCTGCATCCATAACAAAACATGTTGTGTTACATCTTAAGCAGAAAGCAAGGTGAGTAGCATGTGCCAAAGTGGTTACAGAATTTTAAAAAGTGATAAATTAGTCACCTGCAAAATTACCACTTTTTAAAACATTTTTTTAAAATTTGAAGCTAGATCTTAGTTTTGTTTTATTTTGTCTTCTCCAAGAAAAGGCCAAAAAATAACTTCAAAAAGATATGGCTGAAGCATAGAAATGCTCAAGAATATGCATCCAAATTAATTTTCTTTTAATTTGTTCCCACCTACAAGTAGTTCAGTGACTGAGTAAACTGATTGGAAAGTAAGAGCTTGGAGATGTTTGCTGAGGATCTGCCCATGGCAATGGGATTCTATTTCAAGTACAGTTTGTGATTTCTTGAGGGGATGATTACATGGACTTCACATTACATGAAGGAGAAAGGAAGTGGAGGAAGGAACTGTGAGTGGATAGGTCTATTTGCTGGGCTCGAAGCTGCATATCTAGATTACAAATGAAGGAGAGATTAATCTCTGCATTTCTTCCATCATCTGACTAATTAAAGATTGGACTTGATCACTTACTTCATTAAAGTAAACAGAAAGGTTGCTTTTAAATGCTGAAGCTTTGGTTTATTTAGAATATGAGATGGAAGGAAGTGGCTTGTTCCTTCCCAAATACCTCTCTTCTGTTTGCTTCAAGGGTCACCAACGCCCCTCCCCTTATTGTCAGTGTTTTTTTTTTTTTTTTTTTTTCACAAGTGTCTTTGACATCCACCATAGAGCATTTCCTCCACATAGCTTGTGGTGAGACTTTGTTTGTGCTCTAACATCAAAGTTTTCATGAAGATCAGAGTGCTGAGCTAGCCACTAGTTAGCTACAGAGGCCAGGCAGTGGTGGCACACACCTCTAATCCTATCACTGGGAAGGCAGAGGCAGACTGATCTCTGTGTGTTCAAGGCTAGCCCGGGTTACACAAGATTGATCCAATCTAAAAGAAACAGAGCCAGGTAGTGGTGGTTGATACCTTTAATCCCAGTACTTGGGATTCACACACCTTTAAACCCAACACTAAGGAGGAGGTGGAGACAGGAAGGGTTATGGCTAGGCAGAGAGAAGAATATAAGACACTCATGGCGAGGGAAGGGACAAGAGCTCAAGGCTTCAGACTGAGGACTTGGAGAGACCCGATACCAAATACCCCATTCGGTCTGAGGAGTAGAGGTAAGAACTACCTTGCCTCTCTGATTTTTTAGTTTTCACCCCCTAATATCCTACTCTGTATTTTTATTACCAATTAGAATTCATACTGAAGTAGGTGCTTAATAAACATACAGTTGCAGAAACTTTCCTCTTGTGCTTTCTACTATTCCTTTCTTGTCTCAAATTACATAAAAAAAATCCACATGGAAATACTGAGAGGGAAGAGTAACGTTTGTGTTGTTGCTTAAGGTCAACAGGAGTTCTCTCTCAGCCTGTTTTCTAGAGATTGTTCTCCATTTATGACTCTGAGGCAAAGGGTTAGGTAGGAGTGTTCCAGCAGAGAACAATTTGCTTAGATTCAAGTGCCCCAGAGAACTGTAAACACAGAGCCTTTTAACTTCTACAGCAGACATGAGCCCCTCTGCCTGGACTTCCCAGGTCAGGAGTGCTAAGAGTTTGAAGCTGCCTTCGAGAAATATCTGTTGGTTACACCGGCTATGTGCTTAAAAGACTCAGGTGGTGCTGATATGCCTGGTTAAAAGCTTGTTTACTACCAAGAGGTTCGAAGAGACCTGGGTACCCGGTCCTACCACCCTGAATACCTTTTCCTTTCTTTTCTGCCTTTTTCTTCTTGGGAGCCTCCTTCTCCTTCTTGGCTTTTTTATTTGCACCGGACTGAGGAGACTTTTCTTTGGAATCCAGTGGGGGTGATTCTTTTTTTTCTTCTTCTATCAGCCTTTGGTGGACTTCAGCAGCCACCTGTACGGTAGTGGTATTTCAGTTAGGGTAGTGTTTAACAAATATGATAAACCCTTGGACTTACTCATTTAGATCCATGGAAGTTTCCTTCTTCTGTGAACAATGAGGCCCATTTAAGAAGCACACAGTTCCATGTCTGGCTGATCTAGACTTCAACTGCTATTCCTATTTCCCTGTCTAAAAGGAGGCTGGCATCTGCTTAATCCCTGATGGCAAGGCATCCTTATGTGCACTATTTTGAACTCTAAGCTGGTAAACATAGGGTTTTGCACATGTTCATGTAATTTTTGCTTCATTGATAAAGCAGCCTGACTACATCTTAGGCTTGAAGGCCATTTTATAGTAAAAACAAGGTAGAGTCATCCCTGCTTTTGATTAAATTTTCCAAGTATCTCCCTTGTAGTTAATCCCTCTATCACTCTCGTGAATGTCTGGATTATGTCTATATTATCACTCTATGATAGTTACAGAAGGGAAATTACATCCTCACATGACCTTTATAGGGTCATCCACACTGCCTCTCTTCTTTAAGATTTGCAACATACTTTAGGTTATAAAAAGTCTTGTCTTAGTGCTACATAGATTAACTCAGAAGATGTTTTATATATA